GGTGAGCTTGGAAGAGCCATTCTTTGTGTTATTGTGTTATTCTACATGTGTGGAAGGTGATTAGTTTGGCTATGGACAGAGAGAAGGACCCTTAGACTCATGCCAGTTAAACAGACTGAAGTGTGAGATGGAGCCCAGAGGCAGACAAACCATGCGCAAGAGCGCTTGTTTCCGATAGGTGCTTTGGGACCTGTGATTTCCAACTACTGAGCCAGTTTTGGGATTGTACATGTCAGAGTAGAAGACAACTTGGAGAAAAATCCTGCTTTAAAGATATTTTCCATAATGTGGCATAAAAATCCTACAAACTTGGCAATGTTCACCAGGTAGCTGGTCTTGTATGGCAGTTTGTATGCATAACATTATTACTGGGCCAGTAGATCAGAGCCGTCTTTTTCCAGTGAGTAGTAACCATGAACATACTTCAAAGTGAGTGAACGCCACGAATGAATACCCCTGGCATGACTCACTCTCTGAGTCCTTCTCAGGGCCTCCAACTGAGTTCAGGCAGAGGACTTCTGACCTCTCCTAGTGGAAACTGTCTGATAAAACCTGCAAGAGGGAAAGCAGGTAAAACAGGAGGCAGAGAAGAGGAAGAAGCAGGGGCAAGGAAAAAAAAAAAAAGATATAAGCAGAACTACCCAGTGCTTGAAGTAAAGGGGGTGATTAGTTAGTAACCACATGCAATAGTCTACATGAGACTTGGGAGTGTGGTTTAAATGCTGATCTGTTTTTCTGCAGAATTGCGCTTATAAACATTCCCAGAGCAATGTCTTTAACCAGAGAATCTTCAAAGGGCTCAGGCTCCACATGGATGCCAGCATTCATGTCTTGCTCGTGACATGACACGTGCAACATGTGCACTTCCTCCTCTTCTGTTCGATTTTGAGTTGCAGAAAAGTATCATGACAGTCTGCATCTGCCAACAAATAGCTATTCAGATGCTCCAGCATTTCATATTCTACCTGCAGTGAAGTCCCATCCCTTGTCAGTTGTCCTTTAATCTTAGCGAAGAGATTGTTTTTTCTTCTTTTTTTTTTAACATTCCCATCTTATCATCTATACTCAGCTCTTTCTTCCACTGCTTCCTTGTTTATGGAAGGATTTTGTCTTAAAATCCAGCATTCTTTGTGGTGTGAATTGCTTCATGCTGCCTGTTTGCTCTGTTGCTTAGTGCTCTTTGCTAATCATACTTCTTGTTATAGGTCTCACCTATTACTAGGTAGCTGCTGTCAGAAGCCAGCTGTGCTGTTTGGAACAGGCTATTAACGGTGTCAATTTGGGCAAATACCCTCTTAAGTTTAAAAATAAGATTTCCAAAACATTTTCACTTGTCATTACAGTCATTAAATTTACTTACAAGTCAAATTACAAGATCAAAATATACATGTTTATCTATTTTCCCCAGTAGATTTTTATTTTAAACACAAAAACTGTGTTCATGTTTGCAGCTGAAATACTGGAATTATTCTAATACATGACAATTCGTAAGAGATTTGCAATAGAAATAGACAAATCTGTTCTCAGTGTTCATTATTAGATTAAAAAGAAAACATGAAATGGGGATGTGTAGTTTAAATCTTCAAATCTTTTTTGATTCACTAATTGGGAGTGTTGCAATGTAGGAAAAAACGGAGTGTTTATAAATTTGCAGTGTTTCTTTACAGACCCTTTTTTTCTAACAGGGTTGATTCA